GGGTTTAGGGTTTAGGGTCAGACTCCTTCGTCAAATCATGGCCGCAACATAGGGGACTCTAATATAGTAGCCCGAATGGTAGGATCCTTATCATAAGAACCCCCAAATCAGGGACCCCTTATTTTCGGAAACTTCGATATTTTTACAATTGAATGCTCGAGGGATCCAGGGTTGGGGTTTGGGGGTTAGGAGTAGGGTTGTAGGGCTGTTTGGGGTCTAGGGCTTCAGGGTTCTAGGGCTTTGAGGTTTTGGAGTTTGGTTCTGTACTTCGGGCTTGGAAACTTCAGATCCAGAGATTGCGGGCTTAGGATTATAGCGGTTGGGTGCAGTCGTTTGGGGTGTGATGCACAGGTCTTAGTACATAATTCGTTAATTCACTGTCCCTGTCCTGCTAGACTAGGAAACCATCCTCTAAAACATAAGCCTTTCACGATCCATGAGGGCCCCTGTAGAAAAGCCTGCAGCACTTCCAAACAATCCATCCCCCCCAGAAAGCCCTGCAGGAACATGTAAAACCCTGTTCCAACCACTCAGCACCTCTATACGATCCCTTCATCAAAAAAAAACATGCAAACCCAACCCCCATTAAATAGAGTCTGGTTTCTCAATAGGATCAACCCTGAACCGGACGGAGGGTTTAGGATTTAGGAGTCAATATGGGGGCCTGGATATTTGAAGCAGAGATTTGTGGAACTTCACAGTACAACGACGCAGGACTGCGGTTACGACTTAACCAGACCTCGATACGGCTTTGGGCTCAAGGCCGGCTTTATAACGGGAACCCCGTTTAGTATGCAGCTTCATGCAGGGTTTAAGGGTCCTTTTTAAGCCGTTGTTCCGGCTGAAATAGCGTAGTCAGTCTCGTCTCTTGAGTGCTTCAGGCTTTCTATACGGCTTCGGGCTTCGGGGGTTTAGGTTTTGGGCTTGGGGAGAGGTTCTTAGGGTCACTGGTCTAGGCTTCAGGGTTCAGGCCTGTCATTTGGAGATGCAAACTAGTCTTATGCAGTCGGTTCTTCTCCACAAAGATGTGACTCTGTGCTTCCCGGTACACCTTACTAGTAACCCGTGACCCCCTCCCGACCACTGAATAAACAAATCCCGACTATGGTGGGGAAGATGCTCCAATCAAAAGAGGACCCCCCCCCCCAAACAAACACAGAATCATGCAGTGGTCCCATAATGCAATGTTCTAAACCCGCAACCCAACCCTAAACCCTAAACCCTAAACCCTGAGTGAATGCTTTCGCGACAAGGCTCCAGGCTTGCCAACAATACTTCCGCAGCGAGACATCTGACCCTACCCCCTCGCGAACCTTAGCTCTTGTTTAAGGGGGCTAGGGTTTGGGGCTTCGGGTTTAGGGTAGCAGCTACACGTCTAGGTTTACACGTGTACACATGTGTATGGATGCGCATATGTACATGTATGCATGTGTGTTTACATATGTCCAATATATCTATATATATATATATATGCATATATATATATATATATGCATATAGATGCACATATATATATATATATATATTGCAAGTGTATATACACACACATATATTTATATATACAAAGACATACATATACAGACATGCTTATGAGTATGGTGGCCATGCTGCTACGTAATTAAGCACAGTAATGATCACGACAGCTCTTCGAGCAAAAGTAGTAGGGATAGTAATGAAAGCGGTAATATAGGAGTTTCAAAACATTAGGGTACCTTATTTGGGGGGTCCTTATAATAAGGATCTTACTATTTAGGGTACTATATTAGGGTCCCCTATTTTCGGAAACCCCCATATCAATGTGTGGTTTCGTCTGCAGCCTCGGAGCATGGCGAATGCAGGACAAGCCGGCAATCAGGGACGCAACGGCGAAGATGGAAACATACCTCTAACCACTTTAAATAAACATTGCTAGGTAGGCCATGACATCTTAAGCCTGGGTTACACCCCACCCCCTTCCCCAAACAACAAAAACAAGTATGTATTTGGAGCCACAGGTACTGTCTGAAGCCAAGCTGGTAGCGTTGATCCCAGGTGCCGTTGAACAGCCGGCCATTGAAGCCGAAACCGGCCACCAGCAGCGACGAGAATTGGCCGACTAAGCCGACCATCGACAGAACCGTCTGCGTTCGACCCCGGCGCTCCTTCCAATCTAAGGTTGAACCCTTGGGCCCCTAACATGGGCCCCTAGAGGATTCTAGGGTCCCTTAAGGGTATATCTAGGGTATATAGTAGGTATATTAGGGTCCCAGGATACTAGGGCCCACACTAGGGGCCCATGGGTTCTACCTTAGATCCAAGGATACTGTCACGGTTACTCTATGGGTAGTTCTCTAAATTAGGGTCTCCTTTTAGGTACCAAATATAGTACGGCACCCTTATAAAAAGGACCCCCAAAATGACCCTAATTTAGAGAACTACCCATATGGGTTACTAGGTGTGTTGCTACGAGGGTCACAAGACTGGGGCATGAAGTCCAACTTTCCAGCAAGAAGAGCCTTGATGCTTGGGGGATAGGAGCTTCTAGGCCGGGGTAGGGTTTAGGGTTTAAGGGTTTAGGGTTATCTCCCTAGCAATGTGCTTTCTGGCCTAACATTTAACAGCTTGGGGATTAGAGCTAAATGCTAAAATGATCCGTCTGTCCGTGTGTCCGTCCGTCTGTATAGATAGATTATAGACGGATAGATGGATAGATAGATAGATCATGTAGATAGGTAGATCGAAAAAACCAACAAGACAGATAGTTAGATGCATGGTTAGATAGATGGATAGTCCGGTAGGTAGATAGATAGATAGATAGATAGATAGATAGGTAGATAGATAGACCAATAGATAGATAGATAGATAGATAGATAGATCGACTAAATCGCACGAGCGAGATGAAGATGGTTGAGTATTCATCGTGTTTCCACCGTCTCCTCCGCTTCCGCCTTGGCATACTCGACCATCAGCCCACGCCCCGCAGACTGGCTTACTAAGAGCCCGATGTTCGCGGTGAAGAGACAGATCATCAGGGGCACGTAATACCTGTAAAGTTTCATGAGGTCACACAAGGAGTTCAGGGTGAAGGAATTTCGGATACAAGGTCTAGCAAGCAGGGCTTACGGTAGGGTGTAGGGAATAGACCCCAACTGCCAACTGGGAGGCTGGGACAACCCCCCCCCCCTCTTTCCTCTGATCCAGGGCGACTCTTATACAATGAACGGTATGTTTCTGTCACCTATATCGGAATGCCAAACAGAGCTTTCTAAAGCGGCTTAGGTACTGGTCAGCATCTGGATTGCAGGGCTCCTGATCAAGAAGATAGTCACCATCCGGTCCCACACAGAAGTAGGGCTCAGGAAGCCCCATCACAGCCATAACGGAATAGGCAGTTGTGCTCATAATCCATCCGAACACCAGGTAGGGCCGGCGTCGATATCCGAAGATCGGGCGGGAGTCCGACACGATGCCCATGAGGATGGAGAAGACATTGGGCAGCGAGGACATGTTCTGCAGACCTCCCGTTCGAGTCGTTGAGTTTTGGGGTTTTGGGTTTAGGGCTTTAGGGGTTTAGGGTTTAGGGCTTTGGGGGTTTAGGGTTTAGGGCTTTAGGGGTTTAGGGTTTAGGGTTTAGGTTCAAGGGGTTTAGGGGTTCAGGGTCAACCGTTGGTTGGTTGTCTCCTTCAGTCCCCGCACGTGCGGAAGCCGTTGCAAGGTTTAGGGTTTAGGTTTAGAGTTTAGACCAATATATCATGGTAATGTAGGGGCCTCAGTAATTTGAACAGGGTTTTGGCGGCTCCTTAATATAATTATCGTGTAATATACCCCAAAACCCTATGCAAATTATTAAGGCCCCTATATTTGGAAAGTTAAGGGCTAAGACCTTAGGGTTTAGGGCTTACGGGTTTAGAGCGGGTTTTGTAATTGTGGTGTTTAAAAAGCTTAGGGTTTCATGCATATATAAGGTTTCAGGGCTGGGTTTAAGGCTTTTGACTATTTGGGTTAAGGAGCTTACCCTAAACCCTAAACCCTAACAACACTAAAAGGTTTAAGGGTTGAGGGTTGAGGGGTTTACAGGTTCAATTTTCAGGCTTAGGGTGACAGTGGTTTTGCCCTGGAGTTAGGGTTGAAGGGTTTAGTTAGGGCTTGGGGTTTAGAGTTTAGCGGTTTAGGGCTTAGGGTTTAGTGGTTTAGGGCTTAGGGTTTAGGATTTAGGGTTTAGGGTTAGGGCTTGGGGTTTAAGCTGAGTTCAGGCCATTAGTGTCCGGGGGGCTGAAGGGCTCAGGGCTGGAAGACGAAACGTCTGTGCTTAGAGGTCTGGGCCAGGGTGGGTACTACGGTAATGCAGGGGCCTTAAACATTAGAATACGGTTTGGGGTTCCCAGTATCTATAACTATAATAAGGAACCCCCCAAAACATTATAGGTAATTATTATGGCCGCCCCCATTATAGGGATTTAGGGCGTAAAGGGGTTGAAGCCTTGGTCATAAATCATGGAGCATATCAAACAAGCATGTTGAAAAGAGCCATAACCACACTAAATACAGACGTTGAAACACAAACACAGGTTTACCGGTTTACCTATAGACAGGTTTGAATTTACAGGAACGTCAGCAAGACCAGCAATAAGAAATGGCCTCGGATGATGTCTGCGTTGACGTTCAGATAGCCAGCAACCACTCCTTGTCTGCGACATGTGTCTGCTGATGGTGTGCGTCCGTTTAGGGTTTAGGGTCTATAAACCCTAAACCCTAAACCAATACGGTTCAGGATTTAGGGCTCTACACCCTAATCCAGGACCCTAGGCCCGGCAAGCCCGAAGGCACGCCAGAAACAACCCGAGTCGAGCACCCTCAACTCCAAGTAGGGTATCAGAGTATATTACATAATTATCGTACATACTATAGCTTGTTATAGTTCTAGCTCCATATGGGTACTTCTTTAAATTAGGGTCCCGCTTTAGGTCCCCAATAGAGTACGGCACCCTTAACTAAAAAGAAGGACCCTAAACAGGGACACAAATTTAGACAACTTCTCCTTTGCCAAGTAGGCTCGAACAGCACAGACTCGCCCATCAGTATCGCCAAGGAACCCCCGAGATGCACGTATATATATATATATATATATATATACACACACACCGACCGCACAGGGCTTAGTTAGGGTTTGGGGTTTAGGGTGTAGGGTTTTGGGGTTTTGGGTTTTGTGTTTAGGGATTTAGGGTTTAGTTTAGGGCTTGACCGCTGGCTCCAATACCCTGCGATTTGGACGATTAAATTCTGCAGGGCTTGGGGCTACAGGTAAGCCCTCATAGCCCAAGCAGCCCATGAGGAAGGCGCTGAAGCCTCCGGACACGAAGCCCGAACACCTGCGCTCTGCCTACAGGCCGACAAAAAGCACAGGGGGACTTATATAATCAACCTTAGAAGTCAGTATAATTCGGTATAATAGGGGCCCTGGTATCGATAATTAACCATTCAGACCCCTCTAGTGACTGGCCAGTTTTGGGGCTTAGGTTCAGCTTTTGCCGGGTCTAGAACTGTCACATTCAGGTACCATCGCGGGCGACTGGGAGATCGCGGAGTCAAATTATACGATTAGGGCTTAGCGTTTAGGGTGCATTCCATCTCTGGCTGCCTGCCAGGTTGTGAGCCTACTGATGGCCATGCATGATCTTTTGAGTAGCCCTTGCTTCGGAGCATGTTAGCCCTTCAAGCTCCAACTATACAAGGAAGGAAGCGCAGCCTGCGGAGGCAACCGTACTATGTCGAGACGACCGACACTTTACAATGACTCAGAAAGGTGCCCTTAACGCAACTCTGATATGAAGACTCACTCCTTCCCTAGGGTGGCAGTATTCGGGACTCCCTAAGATAGGGGCCGTAAGAATTAAAATAGGG